AATAAGAGCCAAGATGGAAAGGGTGATAAAGACCTAGATAAAAAGTGTGAGAAATTGGCATTAGCCGAACAGTGCGCTAAATTGGCAGAGAAAGAAAAGGGGAAGGAAAAGTCCAAGGAAGGAAAAAATGATAGGGATCTAGATAAACAATGTAAGCAATTGGCGTTAGAAGAACAATGTGCTAAATTAGCAGAGAAAGAAAAGAAAAATAAGAGCCAAGATGGAAAGGGTGATAAAGACTTAGATAAAAAGTGTGAGAAATTGGCGTTAGAAGAACAGTGCGCTAAATTGGCAGAGAAAGAAAAGGAGAGCAAGGATAAAAAAGGAAAACCTGACCTAGATAAACAGTGTAAGCAATTGGCGTTAAAAGAACAATGCGCTAAATTGGCAAAGAAAGCAAAGAAAGACAAAGATCTTAATAAAAAATGTAAGAAATTGGCAGAAAAAGAACTATGCGCCAAACTGGCTAAGAAAGAAAAGGAGGGCAAAGGCAAAAAAGGAAAGAGTGCCAAAAACCTAGAGAAAAAGTGTAAGGAATTAGCTAAGAAAGAAAAGAAAGCTCTCGAAAAGAAATGCAAAGAGTTGGCAGAAAGGGAACAATGCGCTAAATTAGCCAAAAAGGAAAAAGAAAAGCTAAAGGCAAAATGCAAAGCAATGGCTGAAAAAGAAAAACACGCCAAATTAGCTAAGAAGGGAAAACATAGCAATGGTAAACAAAGTAATAAAGAAGAGGAAAAAAGCAAGGAACTGGCCGAGAAAGAAAAATGCAAAAAAATAGAACAGCAGTCAAATTTTGAAAAACTTAAAGAGCTTTGCAAGAAGTTGTCCGAACAGAAGAAATCTAGCGAACTTAAGAAAAAACAGGAGAAAAAGAGCCGAGCCGATCGTAAAGCAGCTGGTATGAAATTACGAAAAGAGTGTCAAAGAATTGCCTCCCAAGAAAAGTCTGATGATTCCTGAAAACAAGTGTTAGCCTGAAAACTTGTGTTAGCAGAAACCGTGTCGTATGCAGAGTATAGCAAACATTTGAACAGCCATGGATACTATTGTTCAAGCCGCTAAAATTTCACTTTAACATGGAAATGTGTTTACAGAGATAAAGGAAATTTACAGTGGTAAAATGTATAAGCAATATTATTTTTCAAATTATTTGAAATTTATTTAAACTGCTCCCCTCTGTTCCACGCTTTAAAATCAGATTCATGTATTTAACCCATTTTAACCAAAGTTAGCAAATACATGAGCTGTAGTTTCTATATCAATTGTGACTCTAACTTTATTTATGGGCTGACAAATAACAGATTATAAAGAGAATGAGTCTTTAATGAAATGCGAAATGGACATGTTGTAAATAAAGTATGGCATAGGCCTGTACCACAAGTATTTTCCAATTTCTCGAACCTAATACACAGATACTTTCTGAATGCCACTCCGTTTAAATTAAAAGTAGATATATTTAAAATATTTGATTTTCTAAATTTGAATGAATTTGTTATTATTTAACCCCGAATAAAAATAATACAATAATTTGTCATCAATTTTTGAAACTAAACAATTCACCATTCAATATTTAGAGCTATCGATTATTTAACTGCTGTAGCTTACATGTATTATTAATGTAACCACTAATATGGGATTTACTGCGTTACATAACCATGCAACGAATCATACATAACATCGATTTTATTATCGCAGGATTTTATATCGAACATAATTTACTGGCTATTTCATATACAGGAATATTGTTTGAAATTCCAAATTTATTAAGAATTCCCTTCTGTTGCCAAATTATTGCTCCATGGCTTTTAATATGTATATCCATCTGTTTTAAATATGAAACACATAAATAATTTAACAATGTTTTTATTTTTCTCTATAAATCAATGTGTGGGAATTACTGGCCAAATTAGAATTTATGGTAACGCTAGCGAGAAGTTTAATATAAATCTCTCACAGTGCCAGCGTTACCAATTGAAAATTGCTGTCCTTAGCAATGGACATTAACTTTTAAACTATATACAAAGCCGTATCTTGCAGTTGCAACACCTCTTGTGCTTTGTACAAGTAAGAATTAATATGCAATGCTTTGTTAAAATACAATTATCAGTAAGTTAAACTTAATTGTATGTCTAGTCCCAGCAATGCTCGTTGTACAGTAATAAATGCTTGTGTAGACATACGCAATGTATATACACAATGAAGGATCCGTTGACCAGTAAAAGCTATTCGCGATTTACACTACATCTTAGTCCACTTTTAAAACTAAACAAATTTTGAATGCTCGTCAACAGACAGATCCAGCTTATCCATCTCACAGTTTGTCGGCAGTTAGTGTTAGCGGTGGTTTAGAGGCTTCCGAAGCCCCACTTATTGATTTATGGTCGGCACGCTCTTGCTCCGACAACCAGGCCATCTGCAAAAGATTCAATATTTTATTTGTTTGGCCACTTTTAGTAAGCGGTTCCAACTCACTTTTTGCTTGTGTTGCTGTACAGCATCTCGACATCTATCGAGAACCATTTTTTCTGTCAACGTGCCATCTTCCGAGGCGTATACAGCAGCCTGCCAAGCGACGCCCAATTTAGATATTTCACGACCCGACATGCCCTCGCACATCTGTGCCATCTTTACACATGTCTTGCCATAGTCAAAGGTATCAAGCTTAAAGCGTCTGTAAAATGTTAGTTAGCAACTAATTGGCCGTTAATATACAAACTCTACTTACTTTGCTCCAGCAGCTGCTGGCTGTAGAACATATTTATCAAAATAGAGCCGCAATAAGCGTTCTCGTTCCTCAAGACCAGGTAACGTAAACTCCACCATCTCGTCCAGACGGTCGTTGATTGCATAATCAAACTGCTCAGGCGTATTCGAGGCCAGCACAAGCATAAATTTTTGATTCTGTTCGGAAGTTCTATACAAGAAAGCATTCAATGCAGCACGCAAATCTTCAGAAATTCTCTCCGACGAGCGTTTGCGCAGAAAGGCATCCGCTTCGTCAACAAACAGCAGAAGGCCTCGCCTCGAGGTATTCGACCAGTCGAATACCTTATGTATGGCTGTGACACCTTCTTTGCCCATGGGCGCCACATCACCGCCGGTCATGATAGCGAAATCCATGCCAGAGTGTTCGGCTAGCTTTTTGGCAAACATTGTTTTACCAGTTCCAGGTGGTCCGTGCATTAGCACGTTACGATAGAATCCGCGATTTATTCGCGTGTTTTTCGTAGCGATCGCGATGTCTCGCAAACGTTCTTCTAGTTTCGGATTCAGCACAACGCCTTGCAGGGCATCCGCGGGCTTCGATCGCAATCGTTTCATATACTTCACAGGATGCTTTATAGCATCCAGAAATGCAAAACGCGAGGTTTCACCCACAAGCGTTGGTTTGCCAATGCGAGCTTCAATGTAACGAGATGCCACGCCCGTAGCACCCTTCGCACTGTACACTCCCAGTGCAAGCAGCGACAATCCACCAGCAGCCGTCAAGACCTTATCCCAGTCGGTCAACATCGCCTCCGCACCGGCACCAATCACTGAACCAGCGGTGCTAATGATAATTAATATTATTTATGGACAGTTATATATCTTATATTTACACTAAGAACTTACCGTATACCCTCCAGCACTGTGGTACGATGCTCTTGTGCCTTTAAGCGAATCTTCTCAAGATTGATGTCGCGATTCTCACGATCCACTCGAGCTTTGGCTCGCAGCTCATGCTCAAGCAGCTTCAGACGATTTTTTTCCTTCATCTCAATTTCATGTTCAATGGTCTGACGGCGCATGGCTTCCTGACGCTGCACGCTCTCCTCCTGCTTGCGAAGATTCTCCTCTTGCACGCGCTGTTGCTGCACCAGCTGATCTTCATAACGCTTTCGCGACAATTGATCTTGGTATTGTGCACGTTGCTGCTGCTGCTTGGTCTCCTCAATGAGCGTCTTTCGCCGCTCCTCGTGATCAATGCGTTTCTGCTCCACTTTGGCCTGCTCAATATGCGCCTCATATTCTTTTACCTTGGTGGCATACTCCTGTTGTCGCGTGCTCTCCTGCATTTTGGACAATTCCAGTGCCTCCCGTGCATGTCCTGAAACATGTCATATAATCGTCAATACCCACACTCATGCACACATCTACTTCAATCAACATTGCCATCGGTTATGCAACGCGTGCAACCGATGATGAAATTTTTGAATTTGTGTACGTTTAGTATACGCTTACTTGAACGCTCGAGTGTCTTCGCTGCGTCCGCCGCACGTTCCAGAGCCGAGGAATCGAACCGATAAGCCTCCATGGCCTTGCGCTCCGCTTTCGTAAGTTGCGAGTCATTACCACGTTCGCCGGCAGTTTGACCCTCTGGTTTGTCAGGTCCATCTGCTCCACCACTAAAGTCCGTCGGTTGCTGACGATTTCTACCCAATAACCATGACATGTTGCTATGTTATTCGTGTTTACAATGTTGACACCCACTCAAAACGTAATTTTGTCACAATATAAGCACGAAATATACTATAAATAAAATGTGCGAGCTTTTTTTCAAACCCACATTCGACAACGTGATTCTAGTAGTGATGTAAGAGACACATCGATATTCAATTTTATGGATAGTTTATACGATGTATCGATTGACCGTGATGAATGGTTAAATAATTCACCCTAGACAATGAAAATCATATCATAAATCATTTGTATGAATTAAAGTATCATTTGTGTCTGTTTATTTCAATGATTTATTTATTTTTTTTTTTTTAAGTTTGAATGACGTATAATATATGAATATATTTGATATGCTAAATTCATAGGTTACTTGTCTCTTCATTATCGTTTTCATATCCTTTTTGAGGGGTCTATGGTGATGTACTTTTCGTCATTTTGCGGAACTATAATCGTTCGTTATCGCCGTTCCTTTGTAGCGTGATCGAAAATGTAGCACGTCACTATTGCAACACCTGTTGTCAACAAACATACATATATCAATTTTAACTTAAGTTAGCAAAAGTCACAGTTTTTTAATTAAGCTTACAATCATGTTCGAACGTAACCAGAAAACCATATTTGTATTGGACCACACTCGCTATTTCAGCATTTCTAGTGAGCAATATATATCAATGGACTATCTAAAAGGCAAGCCGGTCGCCGAGTCACCAGGCAGTGGTAGCTCGATAGTTGGGACTCAGTTAAGTAAAAGCTTATGGACGTGTGCTGTCGAGTCATCCATAGAGTATTGTCGCATAGTTTGGGATCTGTTTCCTGGGAAAAAGCATGTGCGCTTTATTGTCTCTGATACGGCGGCGCATATAGTAAACACCTGGAGTCCGAGCACTCAAAATATGTCGCATGTATCTAACGCCATGATGATGGTAAGCGTACCATCACGCAGCATTCCGCAATCTTCAGACTATTCAGTCATACATGGATTGCGAGCTGCCATCGAGGCATTGGCCGAGCCGACAGATGAGCAACTGCAAGCAGCTCATGCCGGCTGCAAACGAATTGGTAATAAGGGCCGTGTCATTTGCATCACATCAGCGCGGGATAATACTAGCATGAAAAGTAAGTAGAATCAGCTGGAAATTTATTGAATAAAAGGATTTCATCCGAATGCTTTTCCATAGGCTTAGAGGACATATTTAATACGGTACTAATACAACAGAATGCGTTGGTTGCACCACCTTCCAAAAAAGGCTTGCAGATCGATCATTGCCATCTAGTAATATTGAACATCGTGCCATTGGGAGTGGAATCCTTGGTGACAAATCGAAGTTTGCTTGAAATATCTCCGTTTCTTAATGCTGAAATACACACAGTCAATGCACCGGAAATTTCGGATAAGCTACTGCATCTTATAATGGGTCATTACGATCTGGCCAGCACTACCGTCACCAACATACCCATGAAAGAGGAACAAAATGCCAATTCCAGCGCTAATTATGACGTCGAAATATTGCACGAACGTGCCGCCCATACCAAAGTGTGTGGGCCAGATTTTACTTTCACTACCAGTATCAAGCCGGGAACTGCCTACGAAACAGTTACCCTCAAATGGTGCACGCCGCGTGGCTGTGGCTCTGCGGATCTACAACCATGTGTGGGTCAGTATAATGTTACGCCCGTCGATGTCACTTCGCGGCCCAGCTCTTGTTTGATCAACTTTCTGTTAAACGGCCGCTCTGTACTCCTGGAGGTGCCTAGGAAATCAGGCACGAAGACAACCAGTCACATGCTGTCCGCTCGTGGCGGTGAAATCTTTGTGCACTCCCTTTCGATTGCACGCTCGGCTATGGATGAGGCGCCATCAATAACCGACGGACCCGGCGGACGTGTCACCGACTACCGCATACCAGAAATGGGCCAACTACTTAAGATGTCGCGCTTGGTGCCCCTAAAGACTAGGCCCAAGGGCAAATGCTCCCAAGGAGAACATCTATGGAGGCGAATGCCGCGATACTTTCCCAGAACAGCCAATGTGACGATTCTGTTCAATTTGCAGCGACAGCTGAGCTGGCTGCCACACTTTCTGCATTTGCTAGTTAAGGAGGATATGGACAAGCAGGATGAGGTGCGCTGCCAGCAACAGATCCACGAGCTATACAAAAGCGCATCGCGTGGCGACCTGCTGCCTTTTAGCAATTCAAATAACGCACGGTACGTAATATAAATTTTAATAAATATATTATTTAAAATGACATTTAACTCTCTGAACTCTTTCAGCCTAAAGGTAAACAAAACCAAGGACCAGTACCGACTATTCTATAGAGAGTTGGAACAACTCATTCAGCTTAATGCACATACGCCTCATCACAAGAATCTGCTGGAAAGTCTGCAAAGTCTGCGCGCGGCCTATGGAGATGCCTCCAACAAGTCGGAGCCAGGTGCAGCTCACTTGCGCTCCTATACTGAATCGCCCCTCTCACCTGAACGCCTTGAGCCGACCAATAGTGTCAGCAGTTCGTCCGGCAACATATTAAAAGCCAGCAAGCGGCGCATGTCTAGCTGTGGACAACGGTATGCTCTCAGATAGTAGAGATAGTGATTAATTTGTAAACAACATTTTCTACACTTTTGCAGGTCGTTGCTTGATATAATCAGCTCAGCCGAACGGAGTCAATCGAGCAAACGCTTGGATTTTTCTGGACGGCTTTGTACGCCGGCGGGCCAAACGGCCAAATTGTATCCTGAATTTGGAAATAAGGATAAAGACATCCTAACCCCTGGCGTTATTCCATCAAGTTTAAAAGACGAATCAATTCGAAGTTGAGTGGGCAACGATAGATTGGACTAGGCAACCAAATGCTAGCAGATTCAATGTCTAACCTTATCTCAACCGAGTTTTTTCATAATTATCTTTCTGTGTGTTTTCCATAAGGAATGCTTTTTCTCTAAGCACTCTGTTAGGTTTGTGTAATCATTTGTAGGTAGATTAAGTAAGAATATTTATATAAACAGAAGATTTTAAATTTATCGTGTTGTTTCTTTTAAAGTACAAAATTATTTAGTTATTAAGAATGGCCAATAATCACACAGTCACGAGGGTCCTTCAAGTACATGAGGAGGCAGCGCCAGCAGTGCATAGTAAGCTTTGCATTAGTTCCTCCGCAGCGAGTTGGCTAATCCGAAATGTCTTAATTCTTCTTTTGCAGTACCCGTTTTGGTGGGTAATGAGGTGTTTGTGATTGTACAGCAGGACATCAGACGGACGGAGGATATACGTCAATTGAGCTACAATCAAGTGCTTCCCATTCAACCCAATCATCCCATTTTTCCCATTTTCAATCAACTTAATGGTAATGTTTTTGGCAGTAGCGCACCAGCTAATCAGCTTTCCGCCCTGCAAGCTTTACTTTTGGCCAGCCAGGCCCAGAATACTTCCACTTTTCCAACTAGTCCACCTTGTCAGGACGTTGAAATGCAATCGAATCCCTTGAAAATGGTGGCAGACGTATCTAACCAACTGCTTTGGTCCAAGCAGCCCAACTCCAATTCACCTTATCTGATCAATTACAGCACTTCAACGTCGACCACTGGACTCCGAGGCTTCAAACCGATCAAGCGTATCCCGAAGCGGAGTGCAGTTAAAAGAGATGGTAGTTGCCAAACGTGGGTAAAGTCTACTGCAACGGACACAGGGTCACAAACCACCCCGCCGCCAACTACCACGGTGGAAATAAAGGATGTAAAACAAACTCAATCCAAGGGATGCCTGCCGTCCAGTCCCAACACACAACTGCAGGAGAAAAAATCTGAGAAATCTATGCCCAAGCGACCCAGCTTATGCAAAGTCAAATCCAAATCCAAAACACAAATACCTAATGAGACCTCCAAAGAAACGAAGGAAAATGACAAGGACAAGGCGAAGGTGGAGGATAAAAAATAGGAATCACATTACATCGGCGTTGGCCACTCTAAGAAAGGTTTTAGATTTTAGAATTTGGCCTTAACGGAATTTTATGTCTTGTAAGTAGTGGTATTTACATATTAACATAAAGCACTTAGTGATTTACTCTTCTTCAGGCGTTTCTTTAGGTCAGTTGGCTTAGTTACGGTCCCCTGCTTCTGCTTCTTCTTTGGCGGCTTGTCCACATCCGGCACACTCTGGTCATTAAAATAACGCTTGGGCTTGTTGTGACTGCGCTGTTCACGCTTCAATTCCTCCGGCGTGCAGATGCGCAGATAAAAGTCCTTCAGCAGCAACTTGAAATCCTCGACTAACGTATCCCTCACCACTTGGACTTTCCCTGCAGAGCAGGGCGTGCATGCTTGCAGCTCGTTAACCTTGAACGGTTTGGGTGCAAATTCAGAGGCAGGTCGCCACACAATGGCCAGCTCTTTGCCGCCATGAGGATTATAAAAGAAGGCAGCGAATTCAGAATAAGCTGACTGAAAGAGAACAAATAAAATATTGCATAAGAAAACTTGTTTCTAATTGAATGGTTTTTATTGCAACTTACTCTCAGCTGCTGCACAATCTTGGCCAGTTGGTCAATGCCCGCCAGCGGCAAGCGAAAATTGCGTTGGCTGAATGGTAAAAATGGCGAGCCGAGATCGTAACAGAGCGTATTAGGCAGCAGATCTGGTTTTAGTTCGATGACCAAGTCATAACCCTCTCCGGACGCTATGAATAACTGGGCAGGCCGCACAAATCCAATGCTGGGCGACAACACGCTCGACTCGATCAGCTGCAGTGCGTGTCGTGCCAAGAGTGTGACTCGCCCCAAAACTGGCTTGCTGGGGCAGTCATCAGTGGTCCACAGACGACCTGCATGCTGCTGGTCGTAGGCCGTGGCCAGGCACAAAGCCGGATAGCTGTCACGTTCGCTGCGATAGTTGTGCTCCAAGTCTGTAATCTGTTGCTCTGCAAAAGTACACACATACACAGTATTAGAATTAGAATAGAGAATGGACGCAGGCAACCCTTACCTGTCCAGCTATTGTTGAAATTGAGCAGAAACAGTTCGCTGGCCCAGTCGCTGTGCGCCAGTAGTTGCAGGAAACGAATGAAGCCAGTCTGTGGGGCGACTGTTGTGTACGGCGTTTGTCTCTGTTGGAATAGATGTGCCACCAGCAGCTCTGTTGCTATGGAAGGCCACAGACCATCGTCGATCATCTGCGTGGCCAGCCAGCGCTTGGCAATGAGCACCGTGGGTCCGAATGTGCTGTGCGACTGATGCAACGCATGCAGCGCGCCACTGACGCGGGGCAGTATATAATGGCGTCGCTCGATCTCGCGGCTGGCCGCATTATCCACGTATGCAGTTACGCCACGTTCCGTTTGCTGCTGTTTCAGCAGTGCCACCTCTTTGGTGTGCGCAAGCTCCAGGAGAAAGCAGTAGCCTTGTTTGAGCACCAACAAGCCCTCTTTGCAGAGCTGTGTGTGAAGGTGTTGCTGCTCCTTTAGCTGCTTGCCAATTTGTATTAGGAAGGCGGTCTTCAGGCTGCGCAGTGCGCCCAACTCATTGGGCCACTTGCCGCTCGGCCCAAGCTGAATGATCACACGCAGTACGGCGCCCGCGTGCATTCTGTCTGCTACGAGCCGCGCCTGCGGCAGCAGAGGCTGCGGCTCACAATACCGAAAGACCGGCGAAATACCAGATATTGAGACTATATCCAGCGGCAGATCCCCGAGATTGTGCAGCTGCCGGGCCAGTGCATCGTAGCAGTGGATGACAAGCGGTGCCACTGCCTCGGCGTCGGTTTCCTGCTCCAATTTCAACTTGGTTTGCAGCTTGGCCACTTTAAATGAAGACGTCAGAGAATAGACAATATCTAGTTCTCCAGCAATGTAGTGCACGTCGCTTTGCTCCAGCTGCAGATGCTGCTCCAGCAAGTGCAACACTATCTGCCTCACTATCACGCGCTTTTTGCTGGGGGCATCTGTGACGGCAGCCCAGACTACTGCTTCCGTTATGCTGCCGTCCTGAAAGCGTCGCAAATTAGATTTCTCGCCCCAAAATTTGCGAAATTCAGCAGCACCCTCGGGATCCTCGTTTGGCGCTGGACCCTTGTCCAGCACTTCAAATGCGTGCTCCGGATCGAGAATCAACCCCAACGTCAAGCAGCGACCTATAATCGGAGCTTTTGTGTCCACGGTCCAGGATTGGGAAGCCGTTTCTAATGGCAGGATCGCATGGACGCGTTGTCCCAAGCCCTTTTGAAGTAAGCTATGCAAGAATATGTTTAGGTTTCTATTAACATTTGACACATAACATAATGTTACTCACTCTGTTAGCAATTTAAGCAACTGCGGATACGCATAGTCGGCGTAATCGTATTTAACCTGCGGCTGAGCATGCAACTCAAGAAGCTGGTCCACGGTGGCGGGATTCGTAATCCTTTGCAACGATAATTATTACAAATAGTGATTAGCTTTTTGAGTAATCCATAACATAACATAATATAATGATATATCTTTTTATATTACTAAATAAATAGATAAGTAGTTTAGCAGGATAACAGGCCACTTACTTCAGGATGTTATCCAGTCGAGTGTACAAGGGAGATGCCTGCATGAAAATTTGCGAAAAACTATTAACTTTCACATCATTTAGCAGCTCAACGGCCAATTTAGCTTCGGCACAAACGGCTTTGTAGACAGCGAGCGGGAGATTGGTGCACAGGTTGTAATAGCCAGTGATGTCCATGAAACACACATCATAGTAGCCGGCCAAGGTGCTCAGCTGGTGCGGCTGATTCGGGCATAGGGTAATGCCTTGCGTCCAGTCGCTGTTGGCCAGCTGATTCCATACGGTGCGAGCCACCTGGTAGCTGCTGCTTGACTGATGCAGCAAACGGTTTTGTTTCAAGTACACAATGTAGGCGGCTAGGATGTGAGCACTGAATCCGCTGAAGCCGACATCCAGCTGCCGTTGGCGTAGCCACACCTTAAGCAACACCAAACCCTCCTGGAAGTTGCGGTGGCCAGAGAATGTGTTCAGCAACAGCTTTTGATTCTCAGCTAGCGTTAAGTCGAAGAGCACATTTGCATTGTAGTGCTGGGTGGAGGGCAATGTTTCCGACTCATTCCATTTGTCGCCGAAGAATGATGGCCGAATATTGTTATTCCAGGGCACGAAGCGGCTCAGCTTGAAGATGTCCTTCGGCGCTGTGATATAGAGGCGCAACGACAAATTTTTACCTATCTTGCCTGCGGGTGTTACTTCAAGCACTGGCTTCAGTGGATTATTTGCATGGTAGTTGTAAGCGAACTGATCCGCAGCGAAGGCTGGTAGCTCCTTTAATTTGCTGGCAATCGTCGCGAGGTATAGGGCGCGCTTTTGATCGTAGATAAGATTAAGATAGTCCTCCTTTTGAAAGCACTTTTCGGGTATTTCCAGAGCCACATCCGCTACAAGTTTTGGACCCAGCAATGTGCCTATGGCCGCTGCGCCAATCAACTTTGGCTCTGCAGTTGGAGCCAGAAATTGAAAATTAAATGGTTTCTTGTGCAAGTGTAGAGGCACTTCCAGTTTACAGTCATCGAGCAGTCCATCTTGGAGCTCGAGCACCGCAGTCGTAAGCGTCTCTAGCCAGTTTTCAATGTAGGTGCTGTATTTGGATTTGAGTTGAAGCTCCTCCAACATCTCTTTAACCTGCAGCTTGAACAGATTAGAGTGAAAGAGATTACGGGTGTCGCGTATCTCCTTTATTTCTTCTAAAGTTGGCGGCTTCACGTTCACTCCTGTGTGCTTAACTTTCTTTTTTTTCGCTTCGCTATTGGCGCAAGGCAGTTTACGTTTAGGCGCTGTAATTTCCTTTGGTTCGTCGAAGCCATCGTCGCTGCTAGTGACAGCGGCTGCAGATTGATCGCAGTAGGTTTTGGAATCCGTCAATAACATCTGTAATAGGAAATGACATAAGAGTTACGCCGGTACTCAATACTAGAAATTTACCTTCTTTTTTGATGGATTTTCTTTAATTCGGCCCATTTTGTTTATTCAATACAATCAACTAAAATAGTTCAAGAGCGTCCACAACAGTTGCACGTGCTACTTGGTATTGGTTTTAAAATTACGGCAAAAATTGCGCTTTTTTGCCACAAATTTATCGATAAATAAGTGAATTGAAATAGTATTTTCATACATTTCAAAATTTTCATTTCTGCTTTTATTAGTTTTGAAATGTTAATGAATGTATATATGACCAAGAAACGAAATATATAGCCATTCATCTTTTTGACCTTCACATTTTAATGAAATACAATGTATTTAGTGTAATTGTTACATTTTCAATTATCAACGAACGACTTCACCTTTTAAAAGGAAACTTAACACGCAACAAATGACATATTTAAATACGGATTAATATCATAAAGAGATTTTTAGTTTACAATAAACAATTTTTTTAATTGTCGTTATGAGTTTACAAATCGAATATATTTAATATCGATGAAAAGCAGTGGCATGTCATTATCGATACTTTGTCGATATAGTCCCAATATCATACGATTAACAAAATACCAAAGTCGGTCACTCTGCTGAGGAGTAGTGCAAAGCAGATATTTTGCACCTGTATAGAAACTATTATCAGTTTTTTGCTGACACTTGGATTTTGTACTGTATTTAATGGTGCGGAATAACTGTAATTATGGAGTAACAACGATAAATTCCCTTTGTGAAATAAATTGTTGATTGCGTCAGTGTATGGTGCTTACACAGATGTTACCTTAAACAACACTTGTATGACAAGACCATTGTAGTAATTCAAATGAAAAGTGGCTTGAACTAAATTAAAAGTATTTCAACGCGCCTTGCTAAGGTCGTCGAGTGTTTTTAAGAGTTTTCCTCTGTCAAAACAAAGGCCGGCTAATTATTTTTATGTATTTGCCTAGTATATTTTCCTAAATGATTTTGTATCTCTTTCAACTTAGTATTTCGTCATTATTTATGCACGGTCACATTGCATCGTAGTGTTCAATTTGTGTGTGTGTGTGTGCAAGGCAGGAGAAAAAGTCGCTCCATTTTTCTCGTGCTCTCTTGCGTACGTTTGGCTTTGCTAAACAATTAGATGGCGAATCGTATAAATATTAAAAAAGTGTTTGCCTGACTTTTATGTAGGAAGCAAACACACAAATCCACGAAAACGCGCCGCATAATAAGTGTAACATTGCATACATATACCCGACTATAGAAATTGGCCAATCGCTGGTGTGCGTGTGTGTGTAACTGTGTAAGTGCGCGCGTGTGTGTAAGTGAGCAATGAAAAATGAGGCGTAGGTGAGGAATATGTGTGCAAAATTGTCGAAAAGGTACATAAAAAGTACAAATGTAGCCGTAAGCTAAACTTTATGACCGTGTGTTACAAAAAATCAGCCACGACATAATATAAATGACGCGTTGGCAATTAAAAAAATATGCCAAAATTCAAACAGTTAAAATTTGTGCACCCTGTAGTTTTGCGGTCGTTGTTGAGAAGCTTTTGCGTGCCGAAAGCATTCAAAAAAGTAATGAAATAAAAAACCACGTACAAATACAGTTAAAATTTGTGTGGCCTTCTTGTTTATGAAAAAAACAGAAATTTAAAAAAACCATGAACCATTTCTGCTCAGGTCAACCATATATTTATGTGCGGCCAAATGTCTATGCACTAATTGGCCTGATTCTTGATACACTTCCTTAGCATTGTATGCTTCAGTGATGGCGGCATTTGTGTCGTCTGATTGGGCTATATTTGACCTTCATTGAAGGATCAGTTAATTCATTGACAAGATAATTGTGATAGTTAAAACCATTTACATTATTCTTAGGCCAGCATAAGCGCCTGAAAATCAATGGACAAATGTATGCGGCAGGCACTCTCTCAGCTTTAGTGTGACCGCACCTAATACAGTGAATATACCACAATATACTGTTAGTACATCTTTTAGGTGCATTTTCGCACTCTTAAAATGTATGATGATTAAGTGATATTAGTTAAACAATGATTAATTAAACAGTTCAATGCAATGGAATTGACCAAATGCTGAATTTTTATGAGATAAATATATATGCAAATAAACAACAGAAAAAAATAATATATATATATATATATGTTTTTCTGTTGTCAATCTGAAATAAATGCAGTTTTCTTTTATTATACTCTATGTATTATTATTATTTTTTTTTTTATAATTACAGCCTGTTATGACATGCTAATCGCAGGGTCGGCCATAAGGTGTACATTCAACAGCGCTACCATCCCACAAAAAGAGACAAACAAACATATTTTCAATGTGCGCGCGCCAAATGACAGCTGACGATCGGTTAAATAGAATATGACTCAAAGCTAATCAAGAAAGAAAAGATCAAAGATAAATAAAACAAGAAACTATTGTTGTTAGTTGTCGTAGGCGTAACATTAGCAAAATACGTCAACCATAATTTACAAAAATTGTTAGAAATTTGTGGGGAAAATGTGCAAAAGTGTGTTTGTTAAATTGTTAGCCAAAATTATTTGTTTACCTAGTACTACATAGAACGTAACTGCCTTTCTTTATCCAACAAGAGCAACAATAATAACAAAGATATTTCGACGCACCGGACAAGCGAGCGAGCACTTAAATTAAGACAAACAGTAAATATATAATACAGCTGCATTCAACAATAGCCAACAACAACAACATTTAACATATAACAAATCACCAAGGAAATGCTCAAATTGAATACTTAAATGTCAAGCGACAGCAGCACTGATGCCACAGCAACAAACAACAGATCAACAAAAGCAACTGTAAGTTAACAGAAGAACAACAGAAGGGAGCAGTAGTAGGGTAGTTGCGAACTCGTGTCTAGAGAAGAGAGAGGAGCGAAAGAGAGAGGTAGAGTGTGACTGGAGAGAGTAGTGCAACAGAGCAACAGAACGATTGGCTTGCCGTATGCATTGGACGCAGGCGCGGCATGCGTGGATGTTAAGTGAGTGTGTGTGCGTGTGCCAGTGTGTGCATGCGTGTATATGTGTGTGCACGCACAACATAGCGGCAGCAACAACTAGCATCTAAAACAACAAACGATCAACAATAAAGTCCACACATTCAACAGTTTGAACGGTAAATTTGGAGCAACAATTCCGCATTTCTACAACGTTTTGGATCAATCTTATCAACAATCATTAGCCGTTGCTATTAGTTTCGTGCATATATATATATTTATACATATATATATTATCTTTGGAAATTCTGTGGAGAGTGATTGAACGAAACTTGCAACAAATACAACAACAACAACGTCAACATCAACAAGAACAGCAGCAATAATTACAATAATATTAACAATATGCAGCGACGCGAACGACAAGCGAGGTGAGTGTTAAATCTAATTCATTTCATCAAATACCTATTCCATCGATCAGCTATACAAATACCCTAACCCTCCGACTAACAGATTTGATTTCATTCAACGTTGGCTAAACGTGCTTGTTAGGACATTGCGTCAGTGGTATGCAAAGCTCACTCAAATCCCTCTTGCTTTAAATCTTCGAAAATCGTGCGTAGATTTCCCATTTTTCATTTATTCATTTCACATTTATCAATTCGTTTTGACACAACACTCAAACAACAACAAACTATTTCCAACTCGAAAAATTGCCCATTTGCAGCAACAATTATTCTTTCAAATGACTTAAGAATACTTTCTTTCGTTGGTTCACTGATACTTGAAATCGAATACATATTTCTAGAATATATGAAAACAAGTCAGTAAATCAATTAATTTTTATTAACAAACCAAGGAGCATTGCCGAGTACGATCATGAGCAATATTTTGTCAATCTTTTGCGTGTTATCTCGAAACTCAAGTAACGCGAAAAAACGTTCATTATAATGATTTATATATGTCTGTACAATTCAATGCGTTGTTGTTATCAGGGCGGGCGCTGCAGTTGCTGAGAAAGTTGAAAATAACTTGAAATGTTTGGCGATTAGATAATTCAGGAAGAAAGTATATCAATCTGTTGAACGTCGAAATCGAATATGCCTTTTATGTATAGGGTATTTTTACAAAGAAGTTATATTTATGATATAGACTTTGATCAGCTAGTATTGGGAATATAGATTAGAAATCTGTTTGAATTAACAAATGTTTTCTGTTTATTATTAATTTTTCTTATTTGAAATGAAATGAAGATCCGACATTAATATAAATATGTATGTTATGTCACCAAGGCAGTGTATTATAGACCTAGGACTACTAGATAACTCAGTTAATTATCGAAGTCGTGTAAAAAAAAGCTTGGGCTGAAAAGCAAGGATGGTAGTATATAGATGGCTATAGGCTAGTAGATACTGGATAGATAGGATATAGTAATAGTAATACATATTTAGTGGAGTATGTAAATCTGTGGATGAGTTCACTGGAATTAATAAAATCATCAGATTAATTAATAATTATTATTAATCAGTTAAGTTTGCATATCCCATTAACGAATTCGCTTCGATGAAATATACATTTTAATAATTTGTATGTTGGATTTACAATAGATATTTCACACCACTATGAATTGAATATAATTATGATAAAAGCAAGGGAACAGGAACAGAAATTCTATAATCTTAAAGATAAACTGATTAGGAACTGAAATACTGCCAAAAACAACATCAACAAGCGAAAAGTGGCGATCGAATATAATAATAATACTAATAATAGAAGAAACTCTATTTATAAATGTTTGGCAATTCGTGACGTCGTCGCAGTTAGTTAGAAATTAGCTTACAACGTGAATTCAAGGCGAAGCACTAATTTTTTCATTGGCCAGCGAGAGCACGTTGCCAGAGCCACCTGTATTCACGGCGTACTCTTCTAAAAACGTACAAGTTTTGTGGAAGTATAAGTGTATAAGTGTGAGTTGTTGCTCTCTTTTCGGTTTTCCATTTAGTCACTGTGCGCCAATGCTCAGCGGCTTTTATCGATGGCCAAGAGAAAAAGTCCAACTATTTTTTGTATATTTACATATATGTACATATGTATATGTGTGGACTATGAATTTGTTGTTTTCTCTAACATTTTATTTTTAGCAAATCGCATTTCTATTTAAACTTTTGTATTTTATTCGATTCTGTTTTCGACATCGTTCCGTGTTTTTTTTTTCGTCTTGTGTATGTTTGAGCACTTATTGTAATGCGATTCCTTGGCAGACATTCGCTTGTTGAAGGCTTGAATGAAACGTCAGTTCATTCTATAGCGGGCGGGAGGAGGATGCGTGTGTCTTGTGAGGAAGCGGAAAGTTGAGTTCAAATACCCACCCACACATATATATTTAGATCTATATTTCCCTCTCGCTTTTGCTCTCTGAATATTTGTACAAATTTCAGTTGCTGCCGTTTCCTTTACCTTGTGCCGGGTCTATTGACATTTCTAGGTTGCTGTTTGCACTAGTTGTCCTCTTTTTGTTTACGGTTCGCCCCCATCTATTATTATATTTAATATTATTATTCTTATTACTATCTTCATTCTGCGTAAGCCTTGTTTGTAGTCTGCATTTCGAGGTGTACACAGAGAATATTTTCTTGTCGCTTTTCCCTGATAATATTATTTTGTTTCGGGCCTAGACTGGAAACTAATGTTTCTAATAACTAAGCCCAAACAATGAGACCTTGGGGTATAATTACTTTTGTAACTTTATGGCTTCAAGTGGCGGGAATAAAAACAAATTGTAGACATTCTGCCGTTCAGAGAAAGAACTTAAAATTATAAAGAAGTTTCTTTAAATTCTATTTAGATATTCCGATATTATTAAAAAGAGTTCAATTCCATTTCGATATTTTGATCTGACTCGGGGAAGATGTAAATAACTGTTTAGGCGATTAACGGGAATATATAATGGGAATGAATGAATATTCTAATCCAAGGTAAAGGCCGAATATTGAAGCTGATTAAAAGAATAGAATGAATATCGTAATTCAAGGTGAAAGCCCGAGCAACAAGGATAAAGTACATTGGAATAACTAGAGAATGTATTCTTATTTAATGAAAATATTATATTTGTGTGTCATATGAACAGCTGTTGCATTGTGAAATGCAAACACGAGAATAATAACATGTCAAACCCAATCAGCCAATAGCGTCAACTGTGTAAACGTAACGGACTATAGATATACATACCTATATGATATGTATATAGATATATCCATATATCTATAGCCGATGCCTGCAGCAGTCTAGAGACTAGCGTGATGTTCATAATTAATTGATTAAATATTGAAATACCGATCTAAAGTGATTTAACCTTCGATTGAAATTTCATGGGCTGCATACTGCATATATATGTTGTAATTATCGCATGTGTTCGGAGAGCCTGCTGGCGACTTGGACTTGGACTTGAGATTGACTTACCATAATCAAAAATAAAAAGAGAGTAAAATAGGGAGAGAGAGAGAGAGAGAGCAGAGATAACACTCAAGTTTGTATATATATATGTGAGTGGGATGTTGTATTAATTCAAATGAAATTTATGCTAAAAATAAAATTAATGCTAAAGTAAAACCAGTTGCTTCGCTGGCTGTTAATAATTAAGATCACGGCTCAAACAGCGAAAGATGAGCGCCAATCAAGCACAACAAATCCGGGGCGCAAATGACCCTAGACAAGGCCTGTCTGACGGCTGTGTGTGGGGTTCATTAAATTGAAATTGTTCTTGAACTCAACTTTGGCCGTCACAGCGCGAATGCCTTTTGGCAAGTGAATTACTTGATGCAGGAAACATGACGGAAAATCTGAGTAACGCCAGAGAGAGTGTAGAAGAGAAAAGAGAGCTGAAAACTTGACCAACTTGTTAGCGCTTCTAATGAGTCAACGGCCATGTCTGCGTCGTCGTCATGGCGGAACAAGTGCCAGACGATGATAAAGATGACGACGCAGTCCAAGGCAAATAGAGCGGCAGTGCCAGCTGCAAGGAGCATTTAAAACTTTTTCTAAAGTAGTTGGCATTTGCTTTGCACTTGAATTCTCCAACGCCGTCGAAAGAGAATTGCGAAATTGAGAATTACAAGTGCGGAGAGCCAAGCTATAAATTCGAAATTTTCGCCATTTTTTAATGAGTAAGGCGTGTTAGAGGCCTTAGAGCTGAAAGGTGTAGTAAAACTTTAGATAATTCAAGTCAATTACGTATATGCTTGGCGTATTTATTATACTATTATGAGAGTCGATAGTCAAATTAGCTCTACTTATCATATACTCATTACATCGTATCATAATTAATTCCATCCATTAGTAAATAAAGGCGTAAATACATATAGATTCGAACTTCATTTAAGATGATTAAATATATGTGGATATGACTTGATTTATGTACACTTTGCAGTAAAATATCACATGAAAGTTTTCTTAATAACCCAAAATAAGAGGCATGTGAGTTTTTTTATCAGTGTAATTGTTTGAAATATCTTTTCATTTAGTGTTAGTCATCGTCTCTAAATGATTCAAAGCATTAAAGATAAAGATTATTTTGAGGATTCGCGCATTTATCAGGAACTGTGATTTTATTGACATCTATGACATTACTCATGGGGGAAAACTTAATCTATTCACAAACAAACAAACAAGCAAACATATTGAGTGTCTGTTACAGTATGCTAATGCCGCTGTTAATCAACACTGGCTGGCTAACTGTCAGTGCCTCGTGGCGCCTCCAAGCAGCTGTCAGTAATGAACAGCTTATAACTGTCAGTCACTTGACATTGCCATTTGCCGCTTGCCATTCACAGCGAAGTGTCGTCTGTTAAACTGCTTATCACTGTAAAGGCTGTAAAGGATTTCTGTTGACTGCTCGTCGTGGGCGGTGCAATATACATGGGTATGTTAGGTTACAAATTTATACACTCTCCTATGAAAAAAATGTGGTTTTTAATATACTTATGATTCAATGCACGCTGAAGAAATCTTATAGTTTTTTTTTTTTAACCGGTATGAGTTATGAGCTAGGATTTTTTTTTAAATATATATATTTATAATTATTATGAAATTATTAGCATTCTTCTACCTTTCATGCAAAGTTATTTTAGTCAAAAATGAACTAAAACACTTGTTTTATGTTTCTTCCGTTTTTTAGACATGTATTGAAAATACAGTTCATTCATTTCGAGCTTTGGAAACAGTTGTAGTGAGCTTTGACATAAAATTCAAAAAAATAAATTTATAATGAACATAAAGTAAATTTTATAAGTGAACAAAATTGATTTGTTGGGGAACGAGTATCACAGGTAAAGT